TGCAGAGAAGCTCAAAATCATGTTGCATGTCCTAGTGCTGCTTTTCAGGTGATCACTTGTGATAGCATTTTGTTGCACTAACATTGCATTATACCTAGCAGTTGGTTTCCAAACCCCTTTATAAACATTTAACCTTAGCAGAATCAAGTGCCACATAATAACATAAATAAGTGTGGGATCCCCTCACCTCTGGTCAGTTTGGTTCAGTTTTTGAATTCAGTAGCCCGGCTGCCAATTTCTAAAGTGGGAACAGGTACAGTACCCTGACAGTCTGATTCCTTTCTGTCGGAGTAAAAGTGCCATTTGTCACAATCTCCTCTGTTCTTGGACATGGGTACCAGCCTTACCTCACTCTGTGGCATGTATGTGGGGAAACAGATCCTGATAGACTCTTCAGTTGCCATCTGTCAGTATTGCTGAGCACCCACAGTTCATATCAGTGTCTTGTTGCCTCTACATGTGGGTTTGTCAGGACTGTGGCTGAGCCTCTTCCTTTGCTGACTGACCACTGTGACCTTTCGCCATAAGAAATATACCCTTAATAGTATGAGATGCAGTATGGTCTTCTAGACTGAGAGCAATGGAATTATCTCATTTCTGTTACTGACTCCCTCAGTGGTATAATCAAGATGTACTCTGGCGTTTTCAAGTCTGATAGATACCTACATGTAGTGGTGATTGCACAGAATTCTTTGTCTAGTCCTCAGTTTGCTGCCACAAGAGTGGCCAAGAGTCATTTAAAGTTTCAGGGTAAAAATATTGTTTTGCAGGCTTATCTCCCCTAGGTGAAGGCAAGATATTAAGTGTTGCAGAGCTGCTATCTAAATTCCTATGAATGTTGCTCCTATAAGTGGTGCATGTGATTATAGCTCCTTATTCCTTTCAGATCAGATGTGGGATTTTTTTTTCCAAGACCCATGCAAATTTAATGCATAATTTCTCTTGAAGTAAGCATAGAGAAATTATCTATAGTGGTGACTATTCAAACTAATAGCCTGATATGGGACCTCGAGCTGACCAAAAAGGAATAGATTGCCTAAGATAAATTTAGATGAACTTAGTGCTTCCATATAGAGAGGAAGGCAAGTAATTCTTCTTGGATACTGTGTAATCCAGGAAGGTTTGTAATCTATCTTTATTTGTTGAATTCTTGTGACTAGTGAAGCTACTCTGGGCCAGCTCACAAAGGATATCTTTTATGCACTCGGCATAACCATAAGAAGCTCTGTGAACTTTTATGCTAGACTGAGAACAAGTGGGGAGAATAATTGGAGGTGGTAATTTTCCACTGGCTTCACTTAGAATTTTTGTGCCTCTTTAAACTTGTATAGCCAGAAATGTAAGCACAAACACTGTCAATAGAACAGCTGGCTAGCTCAAATTTCTTTCTCAGTGGTACAGTGCTCACTATTAAAAAGTAGAGATGTGACTGGTTAACAGGTAAGCATCACCCTTATTGGGTGAAGCTTACTGGTTACAGTTAGCCAGCAGGCTGCAGCAGTCTCTCTGCCTGCCATGGGCAGGAGTACTGCAGCTTGGCTGATGCGGACCCATTTAACCAAGTAATAGGTTAACCAGAGAACTAATTTACTGGGATTTTAGAATCCTATTGGAAAGATCCGTAAAGAAGTTCTGGAGTCTTTTATTCCTTTTTTTCAATGTTGTCCTCTTTTAAAAAAAAAAAAAAATTAATCAATTGTACTGCATGAAATCTTTTGTATGAAATTATTTTATTACTTAGCTAACTAGTAAAATTTCAAAAGTTTCACAAGTTTCTTATTTGCTTGTGAAATCCGAAGTTATCTGAAAGATGGTTTTGGTGAGAGTTGGTGGTGAAAGTACACTTTTTTTTTTTTTTCCCCCCTCATCAGAAGTACCCTGCCAAACAACATTGGTTGCAGCAAAGCCTTTCATTAAGTATTTTTAAACATATGTGTTGTCAGATTGTAGTCACTTCAGTGGGATGTTTCATGTTTAGTTAGGCATGTGTTTAAATGCATTGCTGGATCGCAGCCTAGAATCGTAAGGGCCGCTGTTCTAGTTGAGCTTCATTAGAAGCTATTCAGCAAAGACAAACTTAATCAGCATCTCTTATTCCCATAAGAGGCTTTATTTGCAACATGCTAGGTAAGCTTTAAAACTCATAATGACAAATCATGCAGGAAGGATGACACTTCATTGTCACTGTCCATAACACAATTAAAGTATCTCTAATCAGTAGAGCATATAGTTCATGTGACAGATATTCTGTGGGCAAAGCTTATTATGTTATGGCATGGCTGTTCCAGCGTTTTTTATTATACTTAAACCGAGACCTAAATATCTCATTTGCAGAGAACTTCATCAATTTTTTTCTATATAGTACATATATTTTTGTACTGTCTAACTTTGGATCTATTCAAGTGCTGTTTGAAAAATACTAAACATCCAAACTAAGTGTTACAAAGCATTAGTTCTCTAGGTAACAAAAATGTGAAAAACATGTTAAGCTGCAGTACAAGTAATAGTGATATAAAATTTATTTGCAAACGTTTGAGAATCTGAGGATGATTTAAAGGACTTGTCTTTTTAATTAAAAGTGCCATACATTTAGTAAAAATCCATGTTAGTTGAGAAATTGATTTTTTTTTTTTTTTTTTTTTTTTTTTTTTTTTTTTTTTTGGAAAGCTGAGTTTTCTTGTATGGGGTAAATGTCACTCTGTTCATATCTTAGCTTTGCTGCAAGTCAGGACATGTACTATTCCACCAGGTTGTCATAGAAACACAGCTAACTGTCATCTCAACTCAGGCTGCTGATGGTTTTATTTGTAGGTTTGCAGGATTATTAAAATTTAACAAAAATTATTGATTTGCTTTTTATTAATGCTGGCTTGTGTTTACCTTTAGAAGTTCAGGCTCCATAAAAGCTTTTCCTGATTGGAAAATATTTGTAAGATGTTAAGCTCAGGTACATTAAATGTGTTGATGTTTTCTCTCTTACTTAGGATGTGATGTGATAGTCTGAAGCAACAGAGTAAACTTGTATTGTTTTACCAATCATCTTTCATTTCCTTTGTATAGTGAGGCAAAAATTTCTCAAATTCACCTTTTACCTGACTTTTACTTTATATAAAAGATACCTGTCAGAAAAGCATGAAGTGAGTACATCATTGTGGCTAATATTTGAAGTTTTCATTTTATTTATATTTTCTTGAAGCCTTCCAGAATGCTTCAGTGCGCTGAGTTTTGAAAATATATATATTTTTGTATGTGCATATGCAGGAGAAATTTAGTTTTCACTCACAAATAAGACAGGTAAAACTTATTTACAATAACTCTAACGGCCCGTGGATGAATGCTTTTATGCAAATTACTTGAGACACTAGAATTAACTTTCCACATGTTGCTGAAGTCTGGATATCATATGTGCAACCAATGTGAAATCTTATGGAGGTTAGACTTGATTTTTTACATTACACATTTATGTCAAAATACACAGATCACTGATGCCTTTCAAGTATAATCTTTGTAGTGATGTAAGAAATACAATAATGCATTAATTGCTGTAAAATATATAAATAAAAAGCACTACTTTGGAAGGACAGGTAACCTAGCTGACTTTTTTTTTATTTTTTTTATATAGCACTCTAATTTGACATTGTCATTCTGACTGGTAACAACTTTGTTCAATGTTGGATTTACTGAATAAAATTGTTCCTTGCAGGACATTTTGACATTTCACTTCAGACAACTGTGTCATGGTTGTTGACATCCCTATATTAATTCCTTTTGTATATGGCCATAAAACTCTCTAACAATTGTTTTGAAGAATCTTTTATTCTAGCATGTATACAGTAAGTTGTGTGGTATGAAATGCTGAATTTCTATCACAGTTTCATATTTCTATTGTGTTTTCTGGAAAAGAGCATATATCATGATAATATGGGAGATAATTTGTTTAAACCGTCTCAGTAGTTTAATACATTATGTGTTCATACTGATTTTTTAGATGGAAAAAGACTAGCTTGTTTTGCCCTTCAAGAAAAGCTTAAATAAAATATGGCTGTCGGTTTTTTGTTGTTGTTTGTTTTCTCCATTGGGAGTTCTATAGCCTTTATCCTCATTAGACATGAGAAAATAACACATTTTATCTGAGGTTCTCATTATGCTTTATGAATATTAATTGAACCTTCTACACCCCTTTTTAAAGTCCGTATTAGAATCATTTCACCCATCAGTGGGGTGGAACACCAGAGCTGTTTTAACAGTGCACAGCAATGATGCACATCAATTTTAGGGTAAAAAGTGAAAAAGAATGTTATATCCAGTAAGTATATACTAAATTCTTTCTTTTGATAGTGGTACTCTCATTCTAATTGAAAATAGGGGGATGGTATTGTAGCTATATTACATTATAGTGAGGGATGTGTTGAAACTTATAGTATCAAATGAGGCTATTAAATATATAAAATGTATCTGTCTGAAAAAAAAAATATATATATATATATATTCTAACAGTACGGCATTTTGGTATAGATAAACACCTATGCACAGTATTGCACCTTAAGAATTCATGATCTAAACCACGCCACTTGTTTCAGCTTTCCTTGGCTGGACATGACAAACTGGAGCCAATGGGAGCTGCAGGGCTCCATGGCTACAGAGCCTTTAAGTAAACAAACTGGCATGGGCATGCTACCGGCTTTTCTAAAGCAGGCCCCTGGATCAGCTAGCTTTCTTTCTTTCCTTCTTTCCCACCATTCACCTTTTGTGTCACTTTGTGCCTTACTCAGTCCTGAATGGTGATTGGATGACTATATAGCTTCTTTAAAGGGTAACAACAGGGCAGTTGAGAGGTCCTAAAAACATGCTAGATAACACATGAAATGTACTGTGTTCAGATCTGTTTATTGCACAGTTTTGCAGCAACACTTCTACTTTTTGTTCGTTTGGACATAAAACCCATTGGCATGTCTTATACAGGTAACATATTCCTAGTAGATATTTTTTTTTATTTACAGCATTTTGTGTCTGTCCTACCTACTGAGGTGCAGCATCTTGTAAAGGTTTTCAAGTTTCTTGTACCATGCATGCTTCAACTCGGAGCTAAAAGTGGCTACAGCTGCATATTTTATTTTTTTATCTTCAACTTTGCCATGTCCATACTTTATTTTTTTCTTAATTGGGAATGAATAACTTTATTTAACCAAGTACCATATACATTTCTCCTGCTTGTTACAAATCAACTAAGTGCCTCTTACAATTTAACTGGATCAGTTTACTTACGTACAGTACTTAGTTGCATCCAGAACTCTGGTAGAAGTAATTGGAATGTATAGTGGCTGTTGTTGAGAGATCATAGGGAATCATCTATGGCTGTTGCTGTGTGATAGTATTTGGGAATCTCTAAGTATTTAAATTTAATTAAAAAAATTATCTTTCCCTTTTCCCAAACTTTTAATAACAGGAAGATGAGAGTGAAGAAGAACCCAAGCTGAAGTATGAAAGGCTTTCTAATGGAGTGACTGAAATTCTCCAAAAGGATGCAGCCAGCTGCATGACAGTGCATGAAAAGGTACTGTTTCTTTTTCTGGATGAGGATATGAAATAACTGTTTGGGTTTTAAAAAATATTTACCTTCTTATATGTTACTAGAAGGTTTTATTCGGTGTTGCTCGGGTCCTTAACTCCTAGCTCTCTCTCACTGTAGCAGCTTGGGGCCAAGTGAGAAATGCCTGTACATGGCTGCTGCATCTGCAGGAGGCACAGTTGCGGGAGGGATGCACGTCCCCTGGTTGGGGGGGAGACACACACACACACACACACACACACACACTCTCTCTGAAGTATCTCTTTGTCCACCTCTGCCCCCTGCTGGCCCAGTGTGGTTATAGCTGTCTGGGTCCCCATCTCTGGCCCCTCATCTCCCCCCTGTGGGCATTCTACAGTATAACTTCCTCCTACCAAACCCCTCCCTTTCCATTTTGAGAAACTATTGAGTTGCAGGCACTTATCATTGTCTTGAGACCGCCAAACCCTTACCCTACTTTAAGCTATGATAAGAGGAAGTTGCATATTAAATTTGGTGGTCCTAGCTCTTACCACTTAGGAGTTTTAATTTATAGTGGTTCCTTACCAGCTACCATTAGGGTATCTGCCATATGTTGTTTCATTATACATTGAAGATTAAGACTTGTACTGTGTGCTTGTTTACTTAGAATACTGTTGCGGTTGCTCAAGAGGTGCATTTTAGGATGTTTTAAATTTAAGAGCTTTTAACTGTATGAATGAAAATCTGTGTGTGTCTTTTTTTAATTAATAAAAATGAAAATAAAACATTTTGAAAATTGGAAAGAAACTACTCCTGGTCTGGGATTCTTTTTTCAGTCTTACGTGCATTTCTAAAGCCAACTGATATATAGAATTTTATATATGGAAATTTCCAGAATATCAACCTTAATTATAGGGTGACAAAGAGCGATACAACAGTAAAGCTGTTTTAAGTATCCAAACACTCGTGCATTTCTAGCAAACTGGATACACTATTTATGAGGAAGATCAATAATATTAGAAGCTAGGGGATTGGTCTTTTGGGAATTGGTCTGTTACAACACAGGGCCTAAAAGCAAAGGTGGAGAGTAACCTATCTCACCCCACCCCCCTCCAGGGGCACGTTAAGGAAAAGCATATAAAAGAATTGGCACAAATGAAATTAGTCTTGTTACGCACATGCTTTAACTTCAATAATTTGGCTTTTTGGGGTGTTCCAAAGTCTGGCTTTTATAATCATACTAATTTCTCCCCAGAATTATTTTTCTTTCAATGCCATAGCATCATATTTTCACCAGGCTTGCTGTCTGCACTGGATGACTAATCGTCCTGGCACCTGGTGCATTCAAGCAGGCCTGTGCAGTGGAATAGTCATACCTAGTTATGTCTGCACACCTGATGTTTTATTAACCAGTATTGATTTTTTTACCCGGGGGACTTTTTTCTTCCTGAAAAAAGGCAACCTTGCAGGAGTGAAAGGCATTGCAGGGGATGAATTTCTAATGAACCCCTTCTTTCCCTTTTTTTGACTCCTCTTTAATGTAGCTTCATATTTTAAGTGCCCGAACTGAAATTTCATTTTAAGCAATTCCATTTTGATAAATCCTTTTAAACCTTGACTTTCTGTAAGGTTATTTTTTAAAGATTGTGCTGCTTGACTGACACGCTTAGTAGTGCTTGTAAATTTGAGCATTTCATTATTGGTTGCAATGAAGCATGCTCACATGCAGTGAAATACAGAGAATTTAGGATCCTAGACCATTTGAGTAATGCTAAATAAAGGGTGGGGGAAAAAAGAAAAAACTTCTGCTGTATATGAAATAGTATTGAAGTTTATGTGTGTTTGTTTAGGGTTAGTTCACGCAATTCAGCTAACAGTGGGTGTCTTGAAAATCATTTACATTTTTACATTTATCAAATGTATAGTTCTGTTATATGTGTTTTTTGAGAAATAATTTGTCAGAATTAGACTATTATAGTATCAAATAGGGAAAGTGAATGCATCATTAAATGTTGAAATACCATAGTGTCTAAGAAAATAAAGAATCAGGATAATATCAAGTGCATTATATCTTTAAATAGCTTTCCATGTTATGGTATTCTGTGTAATAAGGGGCTAATGGTAGCTTTTTTTTTAATGTTTGGCAAAAGAAGAATTAAAAGTATATAGCTTCTTAATCATTTCCATAGCTTTATTTTGAAGCATGTGTTACCCTTGCTTTCACACTGCATTTTTAATTTGCTGCCACAGTCTATCAGGCAATATGTACAGAGTGCAGACACACCATTAGTTGTCAGTAGATGAGGGTCCCCATGACTCATTCTGACAGCTAACTTGCACGGTCACAATAATATGGGTTTCGAGCCCTGTTTTATTCTTTAGCTGCCTCCAAAATAAGCTTCATCCATAGAATAATTTTTAACAGCAACCTAAAAGAAAATAATCTACTGAACATCTTGGAGTTCTTTCCCTGATAGGTTGTTGTTTAAAAGTTGTAATGTGTTTATTTAATCAGTCTCTCTCTTTTTTCTTAACACAGTTTCTGGCACTTGGAACACATTATGGCAAGGTTTATTTACTTGATGTTCAAGGGAACATCACCCAAAAGGTTGACATAGTAAGTACAAAATATTTGAGAAAATAATTGTGGTACAAAATATTGTGATATGCCAAATAAAGTTATTGCTCTCAATACACCTGAAATTTTAAAAATGTTTCCAAAACTCCTCCTGGTATGAGATGATGAATACAAAACATGGAAAAGACATTGTAGCACATTATCTTATGTGGACACATCTCAGGTTGTGTGTAGGATGCGTTCATCATTATTACAGAAAAGGAAATACATATTTGTGATTTTAATTAACAGTAATCATCTACCTACTCTAGAGGCTCCTGACTTCCTTAAGGTATTAGCAGACTTATTAGATGACTATTGTTGATTGTTAGTGTGTGTGTGCTATCATCTTATCAAGATGCCAAAAGTAATTGAAAATTGATTGATTGCCTTGCTAGTTCAGTTTATCTACTGCAAATATATAAAGCTAATATTTTATGTGAATGTTTTGAAGCTTAGACTCTTAAGGGATTGTATTGATTTGAGAGAGAAGAGGCAGACTTTTTTTATTGTTTCTGGAATCATTGAGAATGAATGAAATGTTGAATTTAAAGCTATATTCTAAAGGTATAAAATGCACATTTAAAAGTATAAATGGTTTGAGAGTGCAGTTTTATTAAAATAAAACAAAGAGAAGAAGAAGCAATATTTTTTTTTCCCTAGCATTGTCACTAATTCTGGTAAGCAGCTATCACTTTTTCAAAAGCAGTGTCCGCTCTTGTCAAAGTATCTCTCTCAAGATCTCGACATATTTGCAAAATAGGGCACATGTTTTGAAGCTGACACAGCTAGCTGCACAAGAAAGGTGAAAGGTTATATTTTTATATTTGAAAAATCTAATTACAGAATTGTTTAAAAAAAATCCACAAAAATCTCTTAAGAACAGCCTTTGAAGGAAGTTTTATATATTGTAGTGATCAGATTGACAGTGACCTTACTTGAGATTAGTGAAAGTCAAGTTAACTTTATGAGCTCATCAGCCCAACAGAGTAGATGCTTATTGCATTTAATGCATTCATAGATTCCAAGACCAGAAGAGACCATTGTGATCATCTGGTGTATAAAAGAAGCCATACAACTTCCCTAAAATATTTTAAAGGGAAGAAGGGGTGTGATCGGCTACTTTCCATGTTCTGATTACTTTACACATGTGCTATTTGCCAGAGACACACACTTGTAATTTTAATACAGTTCAATTAAT